GACTTGTTTTGGTAAATGAAATTTTATCACTGTAAGTTCTCTATACCAATGAAATCACAAGGTAAATCTTAAGAAAGGGGCAGCTAACATGCTGTGATGTTCTGATGTATATTAACATGCACGGTGGACTCAAAATGCAGGACTTGGAAACTTTTGCAGAAATCTAGGGATCAAGGAACGTTTCATTGGATTGGTTTTTTTTGGCCACCTTTCCCTGACCCCAGCTCCCCTTCTGTTCTGGACCCCCATCATCTTTCTTAATCAAGTCTCCCACTGTCATTGTCTTTAATTCATCTGGGATGTACAGTTTGGGGAAAAAACAGCAATGGGGAAACCTTGGTTTTCCTTTCTGGTAGGATATTCAGAACTCAGTGGATGTGTGTGTGTATGAGTGTGTGTGTGTGTGTGTGTGTATGTGTGTGTGTGTGTGCGTGTGTGTGTGTGTACACATATCCATACACACACACACACACACACACACACACACACACACACATAAAATACTGACTTAAAAAACCAAATCCTTGTAATACATTTTTTTAATCTGTGCCAAAAATGTGTTTTCAGAAAAAATCTTATTTTCATACTCAGACTTTGTATTGTCATTCATTTGTAAGTGCACTTCATTCAACACTCATTCCTCCCTCCATCCATTCTCCCAAACCTTCATAGGTCCCCCTCCCTCCAGTTCCCATGATGTGGGAGTATTATATACTTGTATAAAGAGACTTTTTATTCCCTATCCCCTCCTCTAACACTTATTAATTTATGGAACTTTTTTCTCAGGGAAGTTTTGTTTTGTGTATCCATTGGATTACAAACTTTATTAAAAATAAGAAAAAAACATGTTGAGCTTGAATGTGATTGTCGATCTTGGGTGGCTGGGGAGGCTAGACACTAGATTTTGTAGGCATCTCCTGCAACCCCATCCAACATCTGTACGTAGGACAAATTTGAATTTCTTACCCCTGCTCTCTTCTGACCATCTGATACTCAATTCCCTTTTTTTGTGAGTTATTTTTATCTTGTACAAAAGAAGAAATTTTTTTATCACAGATCATGTTGGACTTGGACAATATTTGTTTTGTCATGTAAATTATTTGTAAAACTCAGCAGAAGTCCTGGGTGGTTCTTGAGTACTTTGAAGGGACTTTTAATTTTGATACACAGTATAAACAACCAATGAAAGGAACTTACAAATTACAAAAAGGGGGAGGGGGCAGCTAGTTGTCACAGTAGCTAGTAGCTAAGAAGTCTTGAGTTCAAATGCGATCTCAGATGCTGCCTGCCTCAGTTTCCTCATCTGTAACCAGGGGCATTGTGAGGATCAAATAATAAAATATTTGTAAAATGCTTTGCAAACTTTGAGGCACTATATAAATGTTAGCAATTATTATTGTTAAAACAAAAAAAATGTTGATCTTGGGGTACTATAGCAAATGACACCATTTTTTCCCCTGAAGTATCAACCACAATACTTCAGTATTCTCACTTCAAAATTATCGTAGTTTTCTATATAGTAGAATCTGTTACAAAATATACCTGCCTTACACCCAATCCAAAGATATAGTTACTGAAATACCGAAAGGACCTCTTTATAAGACAATCTCATCAATAAATTGGTCCTACAGAATGTTGCTTGAGGGTTATCTTATACTAAGGGCTGCAAGAGTAGTTTCATGATGACCTAAGTAATAAGAGTTGGTTTAAATTTCTTCCCATTCCAGTCTAGCCTCCACTCAGCTGTCAAATTAATCTTACTTTAAAGCACAAATCTGACCACATCATTCCCTTATTCAAAAAGTCAAAAAGACAGTGCCTTCCCATCACCTCCAGGATCAAATCAAATAAAAAAAAAAACCCGTTCTGTTTGACGTTCAAAACCTTTCACAACCTGGCACTTTACTACTTTTGTAGCCTTCTTATACCTTACTCCTTCCTGCCCCAATACCTCCAGTGACCCTGGTCTCCTTTGTTCCTTTTACAAAGCACTATATCTCCAACCTGAACATTTTCACTGATTGTTCCTTATGCCTGGAATTCCCTCCCTTCTCACTTCTGTCTCCTGCTTTCCTGGCTGCCTTCAAGTCCCAGCTAAAATCTCCTGATCTATGAGAAACCGTTGCCCTCTTAATGCCACTGCCTTCCCTCTATTGATTATCTCTAATTTATTCTGTTTATATACTTGTATTCTTTTTATGTAACTTGTTTGTACATAGTTGTTTTCATGTTGTTCTCCCCCCCTCCCCAACTTCTTTAGAATACGGACTATTTTTTTTTCTTTTTGTCTTTCTTTGTATTCCCAGCACTTAGAACAGTGTCCGGTGCATAGCAAGTGTTAAATACATGTTTTTTAACTGATTGATATCTTCAAAGAAGTTTAATTTACTTTGAGACCTCCAAATAGAATAGTCTCTCTCAGATGGTCTTAAGTAGTAAAGTATAAAACTTAAAATGAAGTATTTAAATATATATTTATATGACTCCTCAACTACATTTATATTGAAGGTTGACTTCTACTCTTCCGTCTATTTCTCTTCACCTTCAATATATTCATTTTGATGTAAAGAACTGTGTTTTCTTCTTGAATCCAGTGCTCAAAGGGGAACCGAAATGTCTCAGAAAGCAGAAGGAAAAACACACACACAGACACACACACACACACACATATATATATACTTGTAAGTTTCATTTGCACAGTGAAAGAACCAATAAAAATATTCAATGTACGTATTTACCAACTGACTATCACAATTAAAGTCACCAGAATACATAAGCACTACACGTGGAAATCTTTTTTATATACTGGCATGCAATTGACTTAATTTAAAATTCCCCAAAAGCTTATAACAATCCTAGGGGAAAAAAGAGTAGTAGAGACCCTTTTGCCAAATCAGCCTATCAAATTCACTTCCCCAGGCTCTCCTCCTGAAAACACTGCAATCATCAGAGATCCCCACCATTAAAGTTTGAATGATTTCTTTTTAGTATTTCTCTCAAAATTTTGTTTTCTGGAAAAAAACACATACTGTAAAATATTTGTTTTATTGGCTGTGAAATTATTTTGGAGTTAAAAATGCTCTGGCTGATCTCATTGTTCTATTATCTATTTCAATAGCTCTCTAACTAATGTCACCTTGCAATAATGGGATGGTAAAAGCCAAAAGGAATCTGATCAGCTCTGGCATCACCCGCAGGACATGTAAGACAATATTCCTCAACCACTGAGGGATTTCTCTCTTTCTTTTTAAGGCTTTGCATTCTGTGTATAAAAAGCAGAGTAAAATCATACAAGATCAGAGCTGAATGCATCTGCAGCTCAATTTGTAATTCACTGGATAAATAATAAAACCTGACCTTTATATGGCATTTTACAATATCCATTCATATCCTCATTTCATCCTCATCACCATCCTGTTGAGTAGATAGGGCAGATATTATTAATACTATTTTAGAGTTGAAGAAACAGAGGTGCAAAGAGATTAAATGATTTTCATTCCTCTCCAGGCTGCATTCTTTTTTTTTTCCTGTCTTTTCTCTAACATGCCACAGAAGTTTCCATGTTCTGCAAGTCCACTCCACTCCTTCTTGACTTCTCACCCTGGGAGTACCCTCTTCCCCCATAGCCTCTTTTTCTCTGATTGGCTCATTCCTCTCAGAACCTCCATTTTAAGGAAAGAGCATGGCCATCCACGTCTTCATTCTTCTCCAGGCTGAATGCCTGACTCTGAAGACTTTCTCCACCATAACTCTTTCTGAGTACCTTCTCCTTTTTCTTCTCCTGTTTTATTTTAATCTTCCTTTAAAATGTTGTACTTTCCCATTAAAATGTAAGCCTCTCAAGGGTGGGGGAAGACCGTCTTTATTTCTGCCAGACACATAGTTAAAGTGCTTAACAAATACTAGCTAATTTCATTTGACTTGCCCAAGGTCACAACCAGTTATGGCAAACCCAGGATTTGAAGCATCTCCTGATTTCTCGGTTATGTGCATATTCTACTATACAAGCTGACTCCAGAAAGCCCATAGGTGTAGCTGTATCTGTATCTTCTTCATTTCACATGCATACTTGGGGGGGTGATGATCTTTCCATAATAAAATGTCAGAAAATACTACTTTACTTATTTAGAAATGCTAATTCCATATAAACTTTAACCTTTTACCTCTGAAATAATTACAGTGTCAATAAAACACATTATTGGGTGTCCCCCAAAAGTGATAGACCATTATCATAAAAATAACCATTTAAAAACATGTCTCCAGAGAGAACTTAAGAAAGAGAAACAAATATGCTACCAGTGCTCAATTCATGTCTTTTCTTCAGTAAACAAAAGTGCCTATGATAATAACTAAGTAAATGTATTAGCTATTAAGAAAAATAAGATCTTTTTTTTCCCAGGAGTAAAGGAACTGTCAATTGCTCGAATTGATTTAATCTATCTATATCTTTTAATATCCCTGTTGTCATGGCTGTCAAACCACATTGCATTACAAATTTGGTTTTTCTCACTAATATCTTGGATGTCTTGTTTGTTCCAAAAAACTCAACCACAACTTCGTTTACTAATAGGTATTCTTGCCTCTAATGCAAAAAATTCAAGTTAGACACAATCAGTTAACTCCCCAGACCTCAAATCCTTGTCCTTTTCCATTCTGCCTACGCCGATTTGGGCTCTCCAACCTGTCTTACGTATCAGAGCCTCTCACTGTGAATAGATGCTTCCACCTGTAATTTCCATTCTGCTGGGAGCCTTTTGTCCATGCCTTTAAAAGGAAAACCACAACGGAAGAGATACAGAACTTTAATGCCATTCACACTACGAGTATGATAAGGTTATGTCCTCAAGAGACCGAGTCCCCATAAACTGAGCCCAAGCTTACATTTAAAGTGAAGACCTACTTCCCAACTTTGTTGTTTGCCAACGTGGACAAAGTGTGAACCAAAAGTTCCTGCAAACAGTTCCCTTTCTCCGAAGTAAAGTTAAAAAAAAAGTACATACGTTTTTATTTAAAGTTTCGAAAAATCCCCTCTCTCTATCCTTTAGCTGAACTGAGCGCAGTGCAAGGCCCTTTCTTCAGAAATCACAAGGAAATCTCAGCCAGAAAATCAAAGCGTGTTTCCAAGCAACTTGTTCGCTCCTTCCACAGCTGGACTCGGACTTTCCACACTACTCCAGGGTGTGTGCCCAGGGAGGGCTTCGCTAAAGCTTTTTCAACAGCACCTCCTTGGTCCTCCCCTCTCTGACCCTGGCTTTCACTATCTGGGAGGGGAGGCGACCCAGGGGACAGTCCCAGGAAGACGAAGGAGTCACCAGCACTATCCTCAGCCCAGACAGGACACTAAATGCTGCTACCAAGAAAACGAGGAAGTCCGTTTCCGCTGGCCTCAGTCTCCCCACACCCATCCCTGTTGCCCAGTCTCTGTCTATATCTATTCATTCTCATCTCTCTCTCTCTCTCTCTCTCTCTCTCTCTCTCTCTCTCTCTCTCTCTCTCTCTCTCTCTCTCTCTCTCTCATATCTAATTACCTATCCCCGTTTACTTATCAATATCATCTTTCATCTGTCCGTCTATCTTCTGTCTTTTTATCTATCTCTCCACATCACAATTTATCTCTGCCCACAACATTCTTTTTATTCGTTGTCCTTTCCACTCCAAATTGACACACCCACCCTACCTTTCTCTTCTGGTCTCCCTTCTGTACCCATGCCTTTGTCTTACCTGAATCCCGCTTCTGACAGGCTCCCGAGGCGGATGGGTTAAGCCGCCCTGTCCTCCTGCCTGGCTTCTGGTCCTTCAGTCCTTCGCAGCCTCTCTTGGTGGCTCTCCGACTCCCTTCGCCAGCTGCAGAGAGCTGCGTGGTTTGTCCCGCCAGCAGTAGCTGCGGGCGGTGGTAGCAGAGGCTGCACTGAGCCGGGATGGGGTAAGGGGGGTGGAGCGGGGGCAAAGGCGAGGGGGAGGAGAGGAGGAGAAAAGGAGGGGTGTGAGTAAGGGAGGCAGACCCGGGCGGAAGCCGAGCGAGAAGCTCCGGGAGGGAAGCCGTCTTAGTACTGCATCAGCTGTGGCTATTGGGGCTGCTGTTGAACATCTGGGGTGCTCCCTCTGCAGCATTATTCTTCGACAGCCTGGCAGCCGAAATCCCGCAGAGGCTCACATGCTCCTGCTGGTGGTTTCCAGAACCCAGATTGATCCACTTTATCCTCTGACGCCTCACTCGCACCCAAATACCTGTTTCAACCCTTCAGGAACTCAACAGATTCTTCAGGCATCGGTATTTCTAGAGATCTGGGCTCTCCTAAGGAGTACACGAATATATTTTGCAGATCCCCACACTCTAGTTCTGTCTGACTCAACTTACGTCACGAAACCTGTGTTGTAGCAAATTAAAACAATAATTCATATAGCCCTTTGCCTTTACCAATCGATTTCACATAACAAACCAGTCAGGCGAATAGGTCATGTCTTTATGAGATCTCCATTTTATTACAGACCAGGAAACTGAGGTAGCAGTTACGCCCAAAGCCACAACAGAATAGTGCTGTTATGACAAGGACTAGAAGCCCAGGCCTCTTGATTTAGTCAGGTGCATTTTCCTTTGACTTCTTAACTAGTCTTATAGTGGCTTGGTGTTGGGGAGGAAGGAGGGAGAAGGGAAGAGAAAAGAAAGTAGGAATTAGAATGGGAGAATGAAAACCATGAAATCAAAGAAAAAAATAGATTCTTTGAAACCTTATTGCTAAATTATCCAGCTTCTTATATTCCCCTTCTCCGGAGTCCCCCATCCCACTCCCAACTTCGTGCTTTCGTGGAAAAAAGTCCTAGATAAGAGATTCTGTAAGCCCTTTCCACACTCCCTTTCCTCACCTTCAGAATCCCCATCCTTCCTAACTCATATAGATATTTTAATAGTTGGCTCTAATCACTGTAGATCTTAAAGGCATAGAAGCACAACAATTTTGTATTATACGTTGAACTTTACAAGCTTTTTTCTAACTTGCTGGACTTAAACTAGGTTGAAACCAATGGTCCTAAAGGTAAGCCATTAAAAAAAAACCACAGTATGGACAATTGCTCAGGTTAGCAAGTATTTAAAAATTATTGGTTCTAAGTCAGTTGAGTTGTATGGGGAAGGGCATAGAAGATTTTGCATTATTCTTAAAAATGAAAAAAAAGGAAAAATAAGTATTAATAGCTCATTGTGTATGGCATTATATTTTTTGCCAAGATACACACACACACACACACACACACACACACACACACACACACACACACGCTGCTAGGTGGTGCAATAGATAGAACACCAGTCCTGTGGTCAGGAAGACATCAGTTAAATCCAGCCTCAGATAATTATTAGCTATGTGATGTTGGATAAGTCACTTAACCCTGTCTGCTTCAATTTCCTCATCTGTAAAATGAGCTGGAGAAGGAAATGGCAAACCCCTAGAGTATCTTTGCCAAGAAAACCCTAAATGGGGTCATGAAAAGTTGGAAAGAATTAAACAATAACTATATATATATATATATATACATATATATGCATACACAATACATATGTACACATACATATATACATATATATACACATATATGCATACACAATACATATGTACATATACATACATACATATATATATATATATATATATACATATATATATATATATATAGTTTGAACCTCATAACAGGTAGGTGCTATTATCGCTATTATAAAGGCCAAGAAACTGAGGCTAAGGGGTTAAATAACATCCTCAGTGTTATACAGATACTAAATCAATTTGATTCCAAGTCCAACACTCTATCCACCATACAATGCTGCCTTACTGCATTGATTCTGACTCTATTAAGAATTCTTTTTTTTTAAAATCTAGAATTACATGTTTTGCAAACATCTGTTTATTTAATTCTCAAAACGTTCTAGTTGGATAAGTCAATGGAAAATATTTTCAGACACTTTTGGATGAAAGAATTAAGGGACGGAGGGTGGGTCAAATAGCCTATCTAAAATTATACATAAAGTTAAGGAGGGCTGTTCGGTAGACTTTTTTTTTTTTTGGCAGGTGAGGGGGGCAAGTAGCATAGAATAGTGAAAAGAACACTGGATTTGAAGGTGGGGAAAGAGGGTTAATTTCCAGTTCTTGCTACACATGTGATCTTAAGCAAATTGCTTAATAATTCTAGGCCGTGATTTCCTTATCTGCAATAGGAGGTTGGATGAGATGATCTCTAAGGTTCCTTTCAGCTCTAAATCTTTGATCTTACCTGTGATTTCATAGGGATAGGAACTTCCTCTGTACAAACCCTTCCATTGATGCGGATCAAGTAATTCATTTTCAACTAATATGTTCAGCAGGTATTCTTAACCTGGGGTCTGTGAATTTGTTTTTTAATATGTTGATAACCATTGTCCATCTCTAGAAAAGTAAATGAAATAGATTGTTCTGTGACAATCATGGGTGTGTGTGTGTGTGTGTGGGTCTTATTCATTGCTGGCAAGATTCTTGCCAGAGTCCTCCTTAATAGGCAGAAGAATGGTTGATATGGTGTTTGCTGCCTGCCAACTCCAGGAGAAATGGCAGGAGCAGAACAGAGAGGTCTGTACACAAAGTTTGTGTATATGACCAAGGCCTTTGATACTGTCAGTTGTGAGAGCTTATGGAAAATTATGTCAAAATTCAGTACTGAATGTCAATTTCATGACAGTATGCTTGCTGGGTTCTGGGTGATAGACAATGCTCTTGTGCTTTCCTAGTCACCAAAGGAGTGAAACAAGGCTGTGTGGTTGCTTCCATGTTTTTTAGCATGACGTTTTCAGCCAGGTTGTCAAATGCTTTCAATGAGGACAAACACAGCATCAAGGTCAGCTACCACACTGATGGCAAATTCTTCAACGTGAAAAGGCTACAAGCCAAGACCAAAGTGGAGGGAGTGTTGGTGCGTGATTTTCTGTTTGCAGTTGATTGTGCACTCAATGCAGCCTCTGAAGTTGAAATGCAACAAAGCATGAATCAGTTCTCTGCTGTTTGTGCTAATTTTGGCCTAACAATTAACATCAAGAAAACATAGGTGCTCCATCAACCACCACCATACAATCCATATGTGGAATCATCGGTCACAGCAAATGGAATTTTGAATGTTGTGGATAAGTTCACTTACCTTGGTAATGTACTTTCCAGGGATGTACACATTGTTAATGAGGTAGACATATGCATCGCTAGAGCTAGCTCAGTGTCTGGGAGGCTCCAAAGGAAAGTGTGGGAGATAAGAGGTATTAGACTGACTACCAAACTGAAGGTCTACAGAGCTGTTACACTGACTTCATTGTTGTATGCCTATGAAACCTGGACAGCATACCAGTACCACGCCAGGAAACTGAATTGCTTCCACTTGAATTGTCTTAGGAGGATTCTGAAGATTACCTGGCAGAGTAAGATACCAGACACTGAGGTCCTTTCTCAAACTAAACTGCCAAGATTTCAAACTCTGCTTCAGAGAGCACAACTCTGATGGGCTGGCTACTTTGTTTGAATGCCAAATGTATGCTTGCCAAAAAGACAATTTTATGGAGAACTCACACAGGGCAAGTGTTCATGTGGTGGTCAGAAGAAGCAATACAAAGATACTCTTACGGTCTCTTTTAAGAACTTTGAAATTGATTGTGTGACGCTGGCACAGGACTGCTCAGCATGGCATGCCCACATCAGAAAAGGAGCTGTGCTCTATGAGCAAAGCAGAACTGAAATACCTCAAAGGAAATGTGAGATCTGCAAATTTAGAGAATCCACCCCAAATCTTCACATGGACTATTTGTGCCCAACCTGTAGTAGAACATTCCGATCTCATATAGGACTGAGTTGGACACATAGTTGTACATACTGTAGCTTGACTCTATCCTCTCCTCTCCCCAATATTGTCAATGAATAGACTCTTTTCAAAAAGTATGTTCAAGTATATCCCTCCCCTATTCAGTAAAGTATCCCTTGCAAAAAAAATGATTAGAAAAAGAAACTAGACAGAAAAAAGTGAGCTTATTCAACTGACTCATCTATTGTCACTGGTTCTCTTTCTCCAGTACACACTCACTGAATCCTCCCCTCACACTCATTACTCTCCTCATTCCTTCCAATTTCACATTATCAGCTCTCTCTACATTGCAGTGACTGTTTTAGTTTTTCCATCGGGCAGGCACCTCCTCACATGCTTCTGAGTACTCTGAACCAGGGCT